GGTTTGGGTTGGAAGGGACCTTAAAGATCATTGAATTCCAACCCCCCTGCCCTGGGCAGGGACACCTCCCACCAGACCAGGTTGCTCCAAGCCCCCATCCAGCCTGGCCTTGAACCCCTCCAGGGATGGGGCAGCCACAGCTTCTCTGGGCAACCTGGGCCAGGCTCTCACCACCCCCACAGGAAAGAATCTCTTCCCAATACTTCATCTCAATCTCCCCTCTTTCAGTTTAAAACCCTTCCCCCTCATCCCATGGCTCCCCTCCCTGATCAAGAGTCCCTCCCCATCCCTCCTGGAGCCCCTTGAGGAACTGGAAGGGGCTCTAAGGTCTCCCTGGAGCCTTCTCTTCTCCAGCCTGAACCCCCCCCAACTCTCTCAGCCCCCCCTCCCAGCAGAGGGGCTCCAGCCCTCCCAGCATCTCCGGGGAGGCCCCATCCAACAGCTCCGTGTCCTTGGGATGGTGGTGGCCCCAGAGCTGGAGGCAGCACTGGGTCGGGGGGGGTCTCCCCAGAGCAGAGCAGAGGGGCAGAATCCCCCCCCCCTCACCCTGGGGGTGCAGAATTTACCCAAGAAAGTCAAAATAGAATTGTCAAAACCCAATTATCCTCCTGGTTCAAAGGGGGAAACTGAGGCACAAAGATGGCAATTCCCAGTTCAGGGCCCTGCAGAGCCCGGGGAAAGGCAATCCCTGCCCTGGGCATCCTAATGGGGGGGGTTGTTGTAGAAAAGACACAAATGGGAGAAAAACAGAAATACCAGCTCTTGAAAAAGAAAAGATACAACCCCCCCTCGCCAGCCCCTTGCTCACAAAAGCCCTGGAAATAGTGGAAATATCCGGTACGGGAGAGCCACTGGTTTCACTGGGGGCTGTTTTGTGTCTGTGTGTGGGCAAAAAGCCATATTTACTGGGGAAACCGTGAAGGAAAATCATGGGATAAGTGGGGTTGTGGCAGCCGGGATGGGGACAGGGTGTCACACCAGTGCTTGGGGAGGCCACAACCCCTTCCCCAGCCCAGTAATCCCAGTAAGAGCAGCACCCGGGGGATTGGATCCACCACTGGGACTGTCACTGCCTGTTTCAAGCACGGAAATGGGAGCCGGGCTCCCTCCTGTCTCCCTTCCTTCCCCATAAATTGTTGATGTTTCCAGGTGGGAATCACCAGTCACATCCTTTAAAAGCTGAGTCACGGCCCTACTGGGCCTGGTGGCCTTTTTTGGCCAGTGACACCCCTGGAAGTTGGCCATGAGTGATCAATCCCTTTCTATTTATCTAGTCCTGAACAGAACTATTTTCCCATTTCTCTGGGTTTTCTCTCTTTTTGACACCTCTCTCTTCCAAACCCAGCCCCACACTCGGGTAGTTCTGGACATTTCGGGGGGGGAGAGTAAATAAGCAGGAAAAAAGGTAGTTTTTAAGGCAGGACGTATGGGGAGGAGACCAAAACAAGTAGAAAAATGCTATTTTTTCTCAGAAACCAAGCACCTCCTCACTTCTGGGGAGCTGCGCTCCCAATCTTCCCTGCGTGTTGGGAAGAGACCCCCTTCTCCCTGCCCTCCCTCCTGAGGGAAGCTTGGGGGACGCGAGAGGTGGGATATGGACCCTCCAGTGGGATTTCAGTGGGAGTGAAGCACCTTCTCCAGCCCTAAAACTCCCCCCGAGGCGCCTCACGGGAAGACTTTAGGCCCCCAAATCCCTCCATAAAACCCCAAACGCAATCCCGAGAGAATTCGCGCTCCAGAGTGGCACCAACTGGGGTTAAACTGGTGAAAATGGGCCGTCTCCCAGCTCCAGCCCTGCGAGGGGGAGGCCAGTTGGGAAGAGCTGGGTTCTGACCAGCGTTTCTTGGCTAGAAAAAAAAACCCCAAAAAACCCACCCTCCTTTTCCATCTCCGGGGAAGTTTCGCCGTGACCCGTGCTACATCCCGGAACGCGGCTCAGACATCGATTTGGGGGGGGACACACGTGTGATGTGACAACGTGCTGACCCCCCCCCAGAAGTCAGAAACAAAGAAGGGAAGGAAAGCAAAAAAAAAAAAAAACCCTAAAACCCCCACCCTCGTGGGCTGCGATTCGCCCTTTTTTTCCGTGAACCCCAGACGTCATTGGGCGCACGGCTATAGATGGAGCTCGGGAGCCCAGGCCAGCCCAGTGCAAGCCCACCCCAGCTCCGTGATGGTGCTGGTGGTACTGGTGGTACTGGTGGCTCCTGGGGGGGGACACGGTGTCTCGGTGGCCCGGGATGCCTTCCAGGGACGGGCTGGTCCCCACGTAAACGGGGGGCGGCCGTGATCCCCCAAGGGTGAAGGCTGAGAGGGAGGAAGAGGAGGCTGCCGTGTATTTTCCCACCCAAGAGGAGGCCTCTGGGAGCCCCCCCCCCCTT